CTATACTGAAAACATTTCCCTCGCTGTTTCACTTCCTGTGTATGGTTTAACTAGATTTGTGGATGATCACTTTGAGAATCTATTGGCCATCAATTGAGCTCTACCAAGTTTGAATTTTTTTCCTTGGGAATTTAATATTTAGAAGACAATAGAAAACATAAATTACAATTTTGCAATCTAACTGGTAAGGATTTTGAAGAAAATAGTGAAAATGAGGTTCAACTTAGGAGCTTATAGGTTGTTCTGAAAAGATGCAACTTTTTCAATAGCCTGAGAAATTTGTTATATAATGGGTGTATACTTAAATAAATGTAGTTTTGAGATCTACTTGATGAACTTTTCAATGTTCCTGAATGATTTAGAAATAGGATGTTCTCTTAATGTTTAAATATGCTCTGAAAAGGAAGCTTTTATGGRGATCGATATTGAGACTGAAAACAAGCTCAAAATTACCAATAATAGTTCTCAAATTACGTACCTAAGATGAGACATGGTAGAAGTAGAATGGAAAAAGAGGATTCTTATGGCCAACAGAAAATAGTTGAGAAAGGGCTTGTTGATTTGAGAAAGCATGATAGGGAAACATTAATAGTTAATTAATGTGAACAACATAATAAATATGCAAGCTAAAAGATAGGATATTCAGTATTGTGTTGTAAAAAGTTTCAGATATTTTTTATCTGATACATAACAATATGACATAGATATGTGCAAACATATCTGGAGATTTTTTTTCCCTTTTTAATGAAGCTATCTGGAGAACTTTAAATAGATATGCAGTCAATAAAGGTACATCATGATGAAGCTTTTTTTCTTCAGTTTTTGAACTTGTATGCAAAAGTTGGACCTTTGCCAAATACTCATTTTGATTTCATGATCTGGATCATGGTTAATTATTGAAAACTCAAGTGGCATGGACCATTTTTGGAAGCAAGTTCCAAATTAAGCTATTCCTGAATTGGTTTCATGAAGATTTTCTAAGATTGTGTCATTGTGAAAGCATATTGACTTCAGAGAACTGTGAAATAGGTGGTTATGGTTTTCTTTTTTTTTGATCAAAAATAGGTTTTACCTAGGTGAACTATGTCCCTCAAAAAATTTAGAAATGAACATTATCTCCAACAGTCAAAATTCCACACAGGAGTTGCATCTCGCTGTGCAGGTCAAGCCTGGGTGAATGATGATGCCTACTTTATGCATGGAATTAATCTCAACAGTAAGGAGGCATTCTAGTTCATAGTTCTAGAAATAGATTAAACCTAAATGTTTGTAAATTTTGTTTATTAGTCTTAATATTTAGTGATTTTATGCAAAAATCAATCTTCTCAATGCTTGGTTGTAGATGCTGAGTTTAGAAATACTGGTTTGGAAAGTTCAGAGAATTTGGCTAAAGATTTGGAGTGGTTCAAGAAGCAAGGCCATGTCTCTCTTATGCTTGCTATCTTAAAGACTTATCGGAGAAGGATCCCCAAGCATTCCTTTGTCATTTTTATAATGTCTACTTTGCTCACACTGCTGGGGGGAGAATGATAGGTAAAAAGGTAAAAATCATGAACTGGAAATGTACCAAAACCCTGATCAAGCATGCATGCATGTGACCATACTCTTCTCCATGGTTTGACACACTGAGGTGGCTATCCAAAATGGGTTTCCTGTTTCTCCATACGCCCTTCATTCCATATTGGCATGCCTTGGTCCTATAACCCTTTGCCACTTGCAGGAGTTGTTTATCTTCACCCATAGTCCCATACTACTAATAAAGTAACTGGTTCAAAATTCTTGTTTGCTATTATTTACTGGAGAGGGTGAAAAACATGGCAGCCTGATGCTGATGTGGAAGGAAACTATATGGTTGGTTGACCTGGGGCCCCTTGTGAGATAAATGTTTTGGATCAGACATTTCACCCATCTGGATGAGTGGCTGCAGCCTTCGTGCTGGCAGCTATGTAAGATTAACTTCTATAACTTTTGTTTTCCTTCCCTCTCATATTGACCCTTCGAAGACCTTTTTTGGTTCTGTAGATAATAGATAAAAAACATACATCCAAGATTATATGTCCTTGTGATAAACTCTTTTCATCCATTCTCTTTTTAGGTCRCTGAGAAGATACTCAACAACAAGGAGTTGGAATTATACAAGTGGGATGGTGATCTTTCTGAGCTTTTGCAGAATGTGAGAGAGAAGCTCAACAAAGTTGCTGAGGTAAGTTCTTTGCTACTGTCCTTAATTCTTCTGTCAATTACCTTTTGTATGTGAGGTTTCTGTACTAGCAGACCATTCATGTTATTTAGAGCAAATATATATACAAGTTATATACAATTCTAGCTCTAGTCTATATATTTACCAAATGTTCCTGGTTTTACTCGGGGCTGGTCTAGAGAAGAGAAAAACCATTGTTTGGAAGAAACTGAAAGATCGTTTSAGTACTCTGGAGAGATCCTGCATTTGATATTATCATGATCTGCAAATCCRTTCAACATTTCTGCTATCAGGATCATGTGCATGTAATATGATGGCACAAGCTTTAGTATTCTGTTTATGCTTTCTCTTTTTTCTCTCTCCCGTTTATTTCAGTTTGTCCTTTGTGCATAAGAACTTAAATAATAAAGTAATGATATAATGAAATAGAATAATTCTCTTGGCAGCTTTCAACTGTTTTAGTCTCCTCTTAATTTTAATTTCTGTGTAAGCATGAAAGTTGCTCCTTTGTGGATAAGAACTTACATATGTGATATAATGAAATAGAATGATTCTCATGGCAGCATCTTGAAATATCAAAGGCACTGTAATATGGGAAATAATTGTGTATGGGATCTATCATTTTCAGTTTCAGTCATTTGATCTGACTGACCTAGTAGCATGTGAGGTTTCTGGTTGGCATGATTTAACCAGTTAAGCATTTTAAATTTTCGCTGAAGAATCGCACTGAGCCCACTGTTTCTGTATCTGGGCTTGGCATGTTCAACTCTACCCATTAATGATCAATTGTTTCTGTAAAAAGCTGCATGTTCCAGCGTTCCTAAGCATGTGTCCAACCAATTAATGCATTCCTGTCTAGGCCAGAATGGTTAATTGTTCATCTGGAGACACATTTTATGCCACCATCTACCTGCCAATATGCCATCTAGAGAGAGAATAGACTCACTGTCAATATGCAAGTTTGAACTATACAACCTGAGCCCAGCCTGAGTTTGGTTTACTAGTTTAACGGTTTAACCTAAACCTGGTCTGACTGGAATTGGGTCGGACTAGGACAGTGTTGGGCAACTTGGAGACCGGTGCCTTCTAAGTTCTCACTCCTGTGATTCGCCAAAGCCCTAAACCCCACTTGGCATGAGAGTTTGTCCGAGCAAAATTAGCTGTCCAAACTTGTAATTTTTGAATATAGAGAATCCATGAAAGAACTACTAGTTTTTGTATGTCGCAACGACTTTGATCTGAAATACATCCTAGTGAAAACTGGAAAAGATACTTGGGTCGCTTAGACTTGTTTATGTAGTAACATTTCAGCAAAACGTAAGAGGTGTTTATCAAACCCTTTCAAGCACTCACTATGGTGAGATTTGGCAATGCCATTTTCTGAGAAAATGGTGGCACGTAGGCGTCACATAAGAGAAGACGGTGCTAAAAATAGTGCTCTCTTGTTTAATACCGTTTTTTCAGAAGCAGTGCTTACAACTCCACATGCCCAGCATCTTTTTTATGAGAAGAGGGTGCAATGTTCCCAGCACCAATGCCAAACACCTACTATATTACTACCACTTTAGGACTGGCAAATTATCAGCTTAGGGTAGGGGTGCTTAACAATAACCGGAAAACTGAACCAAAAAATCTGATTAGTTAAATTGGTCGATTCGGTCAGTTTGGTGTTTTTTAAAAACCACTGATACTGGTTTGAGTTCAGTTAACTAAAAGAAAAACAGGTGGTTAACTGAGCTGATCGGTGTGTATATACCTAGTTGTTTGGCAACAAGGTGTTGCACAAGCAATCCGTTTCTTGAAAAATTGAGAATGTCTTGGAAAACACAAACAACAGATTCCACTAAAAATGCAGAAAAATGGGGATGTAGGCTGATGGGGCGTTTAAAGTGATTTGCATTACAACTGTGTGACATCTCAAGTAGTCAATTTTTTAAAATTTCAATATCAGAATCACTCAGGCAGTTCAAGAAACACCATTTTGATGTTTCAAGAAACCCCTCCTTTCCCAAATTCCAAGGCTAATCATTACAGAACATTTTTTAAGAATCAAGAGTGCCAAATGTGATTTTCTAGCTGATTCTGTTTATTTATTGATGTGGCACATGACACCAAACACCCACTATATCTAATGCACATATATAAATAAAAAGACATAAGTTGACTTGTATAATCAAATTTAAGCTCCAAAATCAAGGCAAGTGTAGAAAATTATTTATTTATAATAAATTATATATATTTATAGTACTTATATTATATCTTTATATATTTATTTATAATATATATTGTAAACATAAAAAACTGAGAAATGGACCAGTTAACTCACGGTTTGATGAATCTAAGCATAAACACCTCTACTCAGGAGTAATCATTGTTAACCCGGTCTGCAAATTTCCAGGCTTGGGCCTCGGTCCAATACTCCAGGTCCACTCCAGGCCTAGCCCAGGCCGCAATATATTTAGTGTATTAAAAGATATAGGCCCAAAACCCGGCCCAGCCCATGCTCACCCCTCTGGGGGCCTGGGGCAAGTGCCAAGTGGGCAACCTTTTCATCTTCTTCTTTACATGACAGATGACACTCTCTCGTCTTCGTCGGTGAGATGAGAGAGTCCGTGAGTCACTTCTGACGTGGCAGCATCTGAAGTGGGCTAGCCGGAGAATTCCGGCGAGTTCAAACACATATGATACGAGTTGGGTCTTTTCATTACATGTGGCTCCTTAACGCCTCGTTAGTGTCTTTTCCAAGTCTCGAAAGATAGAAAGAACATTGGCTCGTTCCTTTACTCTCAAGTCTCAATCGTGTATCCGTTTTCATTGATGGCTCGGTTCGGACTTCGGACACAACCATTTGATCGTGCTTAGATGGAATGGGTTCCATTGGTGGGCGTGGGCCTCTGTATGTCGCCGCCATGGATCAATGTCCTCGTCCTCAGTCCTCATCAGTCCTCACGCCCATGAATGAATGTTTCTTCGAAATCTATCCCTATAAATGAACACATACAGAGAAAGAAACTACCACAGTCTACAGCGATCGGTTTTAATGGCTTCCAAGGTGGAGATGGTTAAATCAGTCTCATTTCTCCTGTTCTCGCTTGCTGTCTTCCTCACTTCCTCACAAGCCAAGTCCATCATTCAGCAACCTCAGCCTTCCAGATCTTTCAGTCTGAAGATCCAAAACACCCAGGTACCAGACATCAAATCAAGAACACCCCCTTTTTATCTCTTTCTCTCCCTTCGTTCTTTGCTTATCTCTTCTGTTTGCTTTCTCTACAGAGTCTGAGGAGCTGCTCTTATACAGTGACCATAAGAACCAGCTGCTCCTCAACATCATACACTCGAGACAGAATTAGTCTCGCTTTCGGCGACTCTTTTGGTAACCAGGTTTGTACTGCCGTGCCGATCGATCATTCTTCTGTTTCTCTTAATCTTCTTCTCTGCTGGGATCAGGAACTAACACCAACCCATTAAAGAAAACTGAATTTCGAGCAATGGGTACCTTTACTAAACAGAATCTAATGATGGCAATTAGGTGTACGTTCCGAGGCTGGACGATCCATCGACGGGAACGTTCGAAAGGTGTTCGACGGATGCGTTCAAGATAAGCGGACCCTGTACCTACCAGATCTGTTATCTGTATCTGTTCAGGACGGGTTACGATGGTTTGAAGCCGGAGTCCGTGAAGATCAGTGGCTCCTATGTTAAGACTGTCACATTTTATTACGACACTTTCATTCCTAACGGAGTTTGGTTCGGATTCAATCTCTGTAACGATATTTCTACCTCTGCTGCGATGTAGTATAGTAGCATAGTACTGCACGATACTGCCCCATGTAATTAATTGTTATGGTTGTTGTTTGAGTAAATTAGTCCACACTACACAAACTCTGCAACAGGCTGCTTCTGGTGCCCTATCTCTTTTGCTTCTGAGCTTTCTACTAATCTGAGTTTTCTCCCAATCTTCTTTAAATAAAAGAAACTTCTCCTTTTTGAAGGAAGCTTGTTTCTTTTTCTGTGGGATCAAATTCTTGGCCTATGTCAGTTTTTGCCATGTTTTCCTTCTTTTTTGAAAATATCTACATTGAACTGTGTTTATCAAGATGCTGTTTGGTATGGAGCCATTTTCTCAAGAGACGCGTCAGGCATTTCAGGTGGTTTCTTGAATTCACTTTTAAGTTTTAGCTCGATTTCTGTTAAAGTCACTTATATTGTTATTTTTTAATGTTCGAAATCGGATTCAGTCAATCAGTCCCTGTGGGTAGTGTTTTCACTTTTCACCTGGCGCCTAGGTGTTTTGAAACAGGAATAAATTAATAGAAATAAATAATAGAACTTTAGAGCTTGCACTGGATTCAGGGTTGTTTGGTTCTTGGAAATAGGGCTCTAGAATTGGAATCCTACCGTTTGGGTTGGCAGAATGGAATCCCATTCCAACTCAGGGTCTAGTGGCATTCCCCCCGTTTGAGGTAACAACCATTCCTTCCCTAACCATTGGGAATAAGAATCGGACCATTTTTATTTATTCTCGATTCTCTCTTCTAATCCAAACAGGCAGAGGAATAAACAATTCGGATTCCAATTCTAATGGATTTTATAGTTTCAATTTGGATTTCTATTCTATTCTGATTCCAACTATAAACCAAATGGACCTTCAGTTTTACTAAACTAAGGCTGCCAATGGATCAGATCGATTCAGAAAAAATTTATCTGATCTTATCCCATAAAAGAAATCTGATCAATCTGAATCCGATAAGAATTTGTCGAATTTTTAAGAGTATGATTCGAATTAGAATTTGAATATCTTATCGAATATTCGATTCAATTAGAACTGTTATAAAAATTCAATAATATAATATAAATATTATATGATTTAAATAATATAATAATATAATAAATAATTCATAATATATAATTATATAAATAATATATAACATTTCATAACCAACAGACCGGATCAGGTCATGGTGGATCAGATTGGGAAAACAGATCAACGTTTTCGGTCTGATCTGATTTATTAGAAATTTAGAATCAAGGGAGATATCCGAATATGGCTGATCTGACTTATTTGCAACCCTGTAAAACCGTTGTTGGATGCCAAACACCACTCAAATAAGTAATTTGGTTTCAATCCAACTCTAGATGGCACACTCGGTGAGCACACTCATTTTTCTATTTCTCCTATGCCCGTCTTTGGACTCCGGATCTCTTGCCCACGCCTACCCACAATACACCACCTCCCGTGAATTGGGAACACTCCCTGTATAATACTATGTAGAAGATGAGATGTTCTCCATGTGTGGCTGCGATAAACGTGGGTAGGGTTCTTGTAGGTCGGAGATCTGGGCTCCCGTCTTTGCGGTTCTAACCCTTTTTATCAAATTTACCCAAACCCACCTAGCTTTAATTGTGAATAGGGGTGTCAACGGTATTCGAAAATCCGATTTTGAATTCGATATTCGACATTAATCGAATCGAATTTGGATAATTCGAATATCTAAATGGTCGAATTCGGATATCATATTTTTACCGAATAGTTAATTGGATTCGAATTCGGATATGACCTAATTCGATTCAATAAATATTCGAATTCGACTGATTATTTAATTCTTATGTATAATACATATAATAATTAAGTTATATAAATAATTTATATATGTATATACTTTATATCAATAAAATATTTATTTTATATATTTATTAATTATCTAAAATAATTAATTAATCAAATTCGAATCGAATTGGATATTCGCATATTTAATCGGATTCAAATTCGGATATCAGATTTTCTAATCGAATTCAAATTCGGATATTGCTGATCCGGTTCGAATTCGATCCGTTTACACCCCTAATTGTAAATCAACAAAACTCCACCTATAAGAGGATGGACTAAATTTGGGAGTTTCGATCTCCTCCTCACAGAGCGCGCCTCACATTGAACTCACGACACATTTCAACCATGCATTGGAACATCTTAGTAATTATAAATTTTTATTCATGGGGAATTGTTTCCTATGCATGATGAAACATGTTGTGAGATCGGTGTGAAGTGCATCCCGTGAGGACAGATCTGAACTCTAAATTTAGTCCTCTCTCTCTCTCTCTCTCTCGCTCGCTCGCTCTCTCTWTTTAACCCAACCTGTTGAACCCACCCAACCCACCTAGTATCTAATCCATCCAACCCACCCATTTACTTGGCGGGTTGTGTGATCAACCCATCACCCAAGCCACCCATTTAAATGGGTTGGGTTGGGTTGGGTTGTGGATAATCATTGGGTAGGGGTGGCAATTGGGCGGATTGGGTTGGGTTTGGTTTCGGTTGAGTTTCAACCTCTCATCTAACCCGTCAACCCATTAATGACCCAATTATATAAAATTAAATGGGTTGGGTTCAACCCAAACCCGCTTTAACCCAATCCAATCCGTCCAAAGCCATAAATCTTATATTWATGGACTTAAAAAGCAAACTCTCTCTATCTTAACAAATAAGTTGGATGTAGCCTGGTGGTTATTGTATTATTATTTACATAAGTGGTGAAGGTTCAAATCACATTACATGCATGTTATTTTTACATAAGCGGCAAAGCCATTTGACTATGTTCGGATTTCGGGTTTGACCGAACCACTTAAGTTCAAACCATTTAGACCAACTTAAACCACTTAGGTTCAAGGGTGGTTGAACCATTTAGATTTGGATGAATCCGGTCGGACCGGACCGGTTCAGTCAATGGTGGATTGACTTGGACCGGACCATATTAGGTCTCTACACAGGGTCGGGACCAAACTGTCTGACCCGAACTGGGTCAATGTAGCTAAATCGGATCGACTCGGATTCGGGTCGGGTCGTGTGGATAGGCAAAGCACGCGGAGGTCGAATCATCCCACCAAAAACCGCTTCGGATTCGGGACAACCCAAATCGACTTGTACTGAGTCGGGTTGAAGTGTGCGAATATTGGTTGGACCAGATGGCCCAAATTGGACAGAGCAAGCGGCACCAAACCATCCCGCCCAGGGGCTATTTCGGATTTGCGTTGACCCGGATCGGGTCAGACTATGTTGAACTGATCCGGACTCGGGTCAAATTGATTTGGCTTTATGTTGGGTGAAGTGTATTGATTCAAGACAAAACTAAATTTAGTCAATTATTAATAGAAAATTAATGCGTTAATTATAAATTATTTAATTCAAATGAAGAAATTAAAAAAAAAAAGATAAGGAATTAATACTTATGTCTATAATGGTTAACCCAATGGTAGGGGTGGCAATTTTTAACCCAACTCGTTGAACCCGCCCATTTACTTGGCGGGTTGTGTGATCAACCCATCGCCCAACTCACCCTTTTAAATGGGTTGGGTTGTGGATAACCATTGGGTTAACCATTATAAACATAAGTATTAATTCCTTAGCCTTTTTTTCATTTTCTTCATTTGAATTAAATAATTTATAATTAATGCATTAATTCTCTATTAATAACTGACTAAATTTAGTTTTGTCTTGAATCAATACACTTCACCCAACATAAATCCAAATCAATTTGACCCAAGTYCGGACCAGTTCAACATAGTCTGACCCGATCTAGCATATACTGATATCGGTCAACCCAAATTCGAAATGGACCCTGGGCGAGATGGTTCGGTGTCGCTTGCTATGTCCAATTTTGGGTCGTCCGGTCCAACCAATATGCACACACTCTGACCCGACCTGATACAAGTCGATCCGGGTCGACCCGAATCCGAAATGGTTTTGGGCGGGATGATTTGGCCTCCGCGTGCTTTGCCCGATCTGGACTGTCCATCCGACCAATATCCATTCGCACCAACCCGAATTCGACCAACCCGATTTAGCTACATTGACCCAAACTGGGTCAATAAGTCCGGTCCCGACCCCATGCACAAACCTGATATGGTCCGGTCCAAGTCAATCCACCATTGACTAAACCAATCCGGTCCGACCGGATTACAGATCTAAACGATTCAACCACCCTTGAACCTAAGTGGTTTAAGTTGGTATGACCGGTTTGAACCTAAGTGGTTCGGTCAAACCCAGAATCCAAGCATAATTAAATGGCTTCGCCGCTGTGTAAAAGTAACATGCATGTAATGTGATTTGAACCTTCACTACTTATGTAAATAATAACTACAATAACCACCAAGCTACAACCAACTTATTTGTTAAGAGAGAGAGAGAGAGTTTGTTTTTTAAGTCCATAAATATAAGATTAATGGGTTTGGGCGGGTTGGATTGGGTAAAAGCGGGTTTGAGTTGAACCCAACCCATTTAATTTTATATAACTGAGTCATTAATGGGTTGGCAGTTAGATGAGTTGGATTAAAACTCAACCCAACCCAACCCGCTCAATTGCCACCCCTAATCTATCTATCTATCTATCTATATATAATATAAAATTAATGTTGTCATTAGTGATAGAAATAAAAAACAAAAGAAAATAGAACTGGTATTTGAACTGGGTCAAATGGTTCAGTTCAACCGGTTGGATCACCAAACCAATTACAGGTTGAAAACATTGCCACAAGTCTCATTTTTTAGGGGGTGTTATGCAACAATAATGTTTTAGTATTCATTTGTTTCCACATTTATGCTCTTGAATTCTGGTTTCATTTTGAAATGCGAAAACAAGGCAGTGTTTGGTATTGGTGTTGCAAAGCCATTTTACCACCACATAAGCATTAAGTAGGGGTGTAAGTCGGGCATGCAACCTGGCTGGGAAGCCTGGGATTATGGTCAACCCAGGCTCAACCCTAAGATTTGGGCCTAAGGCCTGAGCTTGAGGTCAAGTCCAACCTTCCTAATTCCAGTTCAGTTTGCACTACAATTTGATGCACTTAGGTTAGGCTTGGGTTTGGGTTGATTAATTAACCCACTCTAAAATTAATATGTATGTATGCATTTGTGCAAATATGTATAGTCGGACTAGACTCAGGCTGGATTGGGCTGGATTTGGGCTACTTAAGGGCTAGGCCTGAGCCCATCCTTAGAACCAAAAATCCAAGTCCAGCTCGTGTAAAATTTTAGGCTAGGTCGTTCTAGGCTCAAGTTTAGCTTGGCCAAGTTACACCTCTAACGTTAAAGATCAAAATATCAATACACCCGATAGCAACAATTGGGTATTGGTGTATATTAATAAGACCGATGCTTTTGCTTTTTTGGTATATATATTTTTATTTTATCAGCATGAGAGGTGATGAGGGGAGATTTGGCCCTTTGGTGAAATTGTGACACCTGGCACCTCATGCAAACCAAGTGCAGTCTCTTGACAATTGGGCAGCTCGGGAAGCTCGAGCAGCTCGGCAGAGCTTGCCACAGCTTGCCACTTACAGATAGCTCGGCATGGCTCGCCACAGGCAGCTCGGTAGAGCTCGCCACAAGCAGCTCGGCATAGCTCGGGGAGATCGGGAAGCTAGGGGCAGCTCGGCATAGGCAGCTCGCCACAGGCAGCTGGCCACTTCGCAGGCAGCCTGGCGTCTTACGAAGAGCTCGCCACTTAGGGGCAGCTCGGCACTTACAGGCAGTTGGCCACTCCGCAAGCAGCCTGGCTTCTTACGAAGAGCTCGCCACTTAGGGGCAACTCGGCATTTACAGGCAGCTCGGTATAGGCAGCTCGCCACAGGCAGCTGGCCACT